AATTTAAAGAAAACTACTCGAAGGTGCTGCCCATTTAATAAGTTTTAAAAAGGTTCGAACACGAAGATTCAAAGGATTCCTAACACTTTCTGAAACGCATACAGGAAGTAAATTTTTTCTCACCATTTTTCTTCTATTCCCTTTTACATTTCCCCTTAAATCTCATATGATTCCCAGCAATTTTTCTCCCACATTCGGCACAATGTTGAAGCATAACCAAATTGCCGGTAACGCCTAAATAACTCCCCGCTAAATCATCATAAAATAGCGGCTTACATTTTTTCTATCTTACAGAGTTGTATTTCATTTAGTTAGTAAAATGTCACTCACTAGAAACCATGTAAATTGTTATACAATTACCAGTAATAATAGCAAATATTCCTGTGTGTGTGGTTTCCTACAACACTTTTCCTTAACTACAAGCGTACGTAATACTATTTTATATTGACACTGTGTATGACACAATGATGTGTTTGTAATATAATCCTAGCTGTCAACTGGCACTAACCATGCCACCACATGACACTTGGACTACCGCCATTTCCTTTTATATATTAAGAAAGGGGGCTTAACATGTCAAATTAGGTTATTGCTTGCTTTTAACGATGAGATTTTCTTTTGTATTTCTTGAAAATATGAAAAAAATATATTGCGTGTTTTTCAAGTAAAACGGGGTTTAACTCTTAATATTGTCATACTAAATTGTGGACAGAGTTTTTTGTTTCTTTTCCTATTTTCTTTTTATACCCACCATCAAAAAAGATGGGGGGTATATTGATTTTGTCATTCCGTTTGTAACACATAGAAATATTGGTCATAGACCCATAAAAGTATATATATTCTGGGTCCTCATTAAATTCTAAGACGATCTAGCCATGTCTGTCCGTCTGTCCGTCTGTCCGTCCGTCCGTCCGTCTGTCTGTCTGTCTGTCTGTTGAAAGCACGATAGAGTCCGAATGGAAAGAGCTAGAGGGTTGAAATTTCACATAAATATTTCTTATAGGTAAGGTTTGTTTGGTATTGAAAATGGGCAATATCGGTCCACGTTTTCGGATAGCCCCCATACAAGTGGCCCCTCGAAAAACAGCTTTAACAGCCATAACTTGTTTAAAAATACGAATATAGCGATGAAATTCGACATAAGTAAGTTTCTTATGATCCAAAATCAATATGCGAAATTTTATGAGGATCGGTCCATAATTGACCCTGCCCCCCATATAAGGTCCCCTTCAGAAAATAACTTTAACGCTCATTACTGGCTTAAAAATACAAGTATATAGATGAAATTCGACATAAGTAAGTTTCATACGAGTCAAAATCTATATTTTAAAAATTTTATGAGGATCGGTCCATGATTGACCCTAACCCCATATAAGGTCCCCTTCAGAAAATGACTGCAACGCTCATTAATGGTTTAAAAATATGAGTGTAGCGATGAAATTCGACACAAATAAATTTAATACGAACCAAATTCTATCTACCAAATTTTATGAGGATCGACCCATAATTGGCCCTACCCCCCTATATATGGTCCCCTTCAGAAAATTACTTTAACGCTTATAACTGGCCTAAATATAATAATATACTCGTATATAGATAAATTCGACATAAGTAAGTTTCATTCGAGTCAAACGAGGTTTGATGGTGGGTATATAAGATTCGGCATAGCCGAATATAACACTCTTACTTGTTATAGTTTAAAATGTATTTTTTAGTGGGTTGTTTAGAATTTGTTAGAGCATATTATATTTTATGACACTTAATTTACATATATGGCGGTAATCTTTTGACAGATTTGTCACGGCCATAATGACATGTTTAGTATAAACTCTTAAAGACATATGCAATGTAAACACTATTTTTTTGGCTCTCTTTCACTTTGACACTCTTTCACAAACAGAGTTGCCAAAAGGGTTTTTTGTATATCGCTGGGAAATGTTATTTTCATAGTAAACAGATGTTAAACATTGTGAGGAATTTATTCTTTTACTTTTTAATTTAATTTCATTTATATTTTTATAGCCATTGAAAAATTTATGAGTTTTTATGGGCCATTTATAATTTGAAGTAGCTGACAGCAGCAGCAGCATCATCATTTAAAATAAGTTTTAAGAAACAGCTTTGTTCTTGTAGTTTTTCAAACTATTTATTTGTTCAATATTGTAGTATTTTACACAGCATGTTGCTGTTAGTCGAGAATGTATACAGATTGTGAAAGGTCAAAAGTTAAACGACTTCTTATAAAAATATTGATATTGAAGTTTACAAGCTCATAAAAATAATATTAATTATTTAAAAAAATGGAAACTTTTAATAAACAACATAAAATTAATTTGTATAACATAATATGTTAAAAAAGTGATCATGATGTTTGGACTATAATGAAGACTAAAGTCCAGGTAACATTCTAAAAATAACAGAGTAAAGTTCTAGCATGTTCTACATAAGTTTTTGCTCAGTTTTAGTTCAGTCCTAGTTCTGCTCTAGTTCTATTCTAGTTCTGTTCTAATTCTGTTTTAATTCTGTTCTAGTTCAGTTATGTTCTAGTTTAGCTATAGTTCAGTTCTAGTTCAGTTTTAGTTCAGCTCCAGTGTAGTTCTAGTTCAGTTCCAGTTCAGTTCCAGTTCAGTTCTAGTTCTGTTCTAGTACTGTTCTAGTACTGTTGTAGTACTGTTCTAGTTCTGTTCTAGTTCTGTTCTAGTTCTATTCTAGTTCTGTTCTAGTTCTGTTCTAGTTCTGTTCTAGTTCTGTTCTAGTTCTGTTCTAGTTCTGTTCTAGTTCTGTTCTGTTCTAGTTCTGTTCTAGTTCTGTTCTAGTTCTGTTCTAGTTCTGTTCTAATTCTGTTCTAGTTCTGTTCTAGTTCTGTTCTCGTTCTGTTCTAGTTCTGTTCTAGTTCTGTTCTAGTTCTGTTCTAGTTCTGTTCTAGTTCTGTTCTAGTTCTGTTCTAGTTCTGTTCTAGTTCTATTCTAGTTCTATTCTAGTTCTGTTCTAGTTCTGTTCTAGTTCTAGTTCTGTTCTACTTTTGTTCTAGTTCTGTTCTAGTTCTATTCTACTTTTGTTCTAGTTCTGTTCTAGTTCCATTCTAGTTCTATTCTAGTTCTGTTCTAATTCTGTTCTAGTTCTGATCTAGTTATGTACTAGTTTTGTTCTGTTGTAGTTCTGTTCTAGTTCTGTTCTAGTTCTATTCTAGTTCTATTCCAGTTATATTCTAGATCTATTCCAGTTCTATTCTTGTTCTATTCCAGTTCTGTTCTAGTTCAGATCTTGTTCTGTTTTAGTTCAGTTCTAGTTCAGTTCTAGTTCAGTTTCTAGTTCAGTTCTAGTTCAGTTCTAGTTCAGTTCTAGTTCAGTTCTAGTTCAGTTCTAGTTCAGTTCTAGTTCAGTTCTAGTTCAGTTCTAGTTCAGTTCTAGTTCAGTTCTAGTTCAGTTCTAGTTCAGTTCTAGTTCAGTTCTAGTTCAGTTCTAGTTCAGTTCTAGTTCAGTTCTAGTTCAGTTCTAGTTCAGTTCTAGTTCAGTTCTAGTTCAGTTCTAGTTCAGTTCTAGTTCAGTTCTAGTTCAGTTCTAGTTCAGTTCTAGTTCAGTTCTAGTTCAGTCTAGTTCAGTTCTAGTTCAGTTCTAGTTCAGTTCTAGTTCAGTTCTAGTTCAGTTCTAGTTCAGTTCTAGTTCAGTTCTAGTTCAGTTCTAGTTCAGTTCTAGTTCAGTTCTAGTTCAGTTCTAGTTCAGTTCTAGTTCAGTTCTAGTTCAGTTCTAGTTCAGTTCTAGTTCAGTTCTAGTTCAGTTCTAGTTCAGTTCTAGTTCAGTTCTAGTTCATTCTAGTTCTAGTTCTATTCTAGTTCTAGTTCTGTTCTAATTCTAGTTCTAGTTCTGTTCTAGTTCTGTTCTAGTTCTGTTCTAGTTCTGTTCTAGTTCTGTTCTAGTTCTGTTCTAGTTCTGTTCTAGTTCTGTTCTAGTTCTGTTCTAGTTCTGTTCTAGTTCTGTTCTAGTTCTGTTCTAGTTCTGTTCTAGTTCTGTTCTAGTTCTGTTCTAGTTCTGTTCTAGTTCTGTTCTAGTTCTGTCTAGTTCTGTTCTAGTTCTAGTTCTGTTCTAGTTCTGTTCTAGTTCTGTTCTAGTTCTGTTCTAGTTCTGTTCTAGTTCTGTACTAGTTCTGTTCTAGTTCTGTTCTAGTTCTGTTTTAGTTCTGTTTTAGTTCTGTTCTAGTTCTGTTCTAGTTCTGTTCTAGTTCTGTTCAAGTTCTGTTTTAGTTCTGTTTTAGTTCTGTTCTAGTTCTGTTTTAGTTTTGTTCTAGTTCTGTTCTAGTTCTGTTCAAGTTCTGTTTTAGTTCTGTTCTAGTTCTGTTCTAGTTCTGTTCTAGTTCTGTTCTAGTTCTGTTCTAGTTCTGTTCTAGTTCTATTCTAGTTCTATTCTAGTTCTGTTCTAGTTCTGTTCTAGTTATATTCTAGTTCAGTTCTTCATTAATTTCTAAACCTCTAAAATATTAATTAAAAAAATTCTTCTTTGTATTCCTAATAGTTTTTTTCTTAACAAAAGTTGAAATGAAATTCGAAAACCGGATATCCTTACACATTTATAAATTTGTTTGATATCATTTACCTTCTACTTTTGTAGCCAACACTTGCTTTAATTAATTTTTTATTTCCTTTTATAAAATTTTTTGAGGTTATTTTTTTTTTTGGTCTACCTTTTAACACAAAAGCAAACCCGGTGTGTGTGGCGAGGCGGTCGCTGTATTAATTCCTTTTATTTTGTGTGTGTGATAAAAAATATGGAAAAAAGGTCAACTCATGTGTTAAAAGTAGGGAAAATCCTTCCGGCTTTTTAGCCATAATTGATGACAGTTTTATATTACCGCAAACAACACACACGCAAACATGCGACGACAAAAAGGAGAACAAGTGTAAATGTCACATTAATTATTAAGGATTAATTTAAGATGGTGAAAGAAAAGCAAGAAAATGTGTTGAATAATTATTTTTATGTTTTTCTTTTATATTTGCAGCCAGAGATTCGGATTTAAGTGATACCGAATCTGAGCCCGGCATACCACTAAAACGTAAACAAAGAAGATCGAGAACTACCTTTTCGGCCGATCAGTTAGAGGCTTTAGAAAGAGCTTTTGCTCGAACTCAATATCCTGATGTTTATACCCGCGAAGAATTGGCACAATCTACCCAACTAACAGAGGCTCGCATACAGGTGTGGTTTAGCAATAGAAGAGCACGCCTGCGCAAACATTCAGGAGGTGGTGGTGGCGGCAGCATGAACGGTGCTATGGCGGCATCGGGAGTAAGCAACTCTGCAGCTGCTTCTACGGGAGCTAGTGGCTCTACACCCTTAGGTTTTGGTCCTTTAGCTATGGGTTCCATGGGTTATAGTCCAGCAGCAGGTACCACCGCCTCCAGTGGAGGCATGAATGACCAGCACAGTGTTCATGCAGCAGCAGCTGTTGCGGCGGCTGCCGCTCATCACCCAGCCCATCATCATCACCATCCTCACTCACAAATGGGAGGCTACGATTTGATGGCAGCCCAGTCGGCTCATCAAGGTTTTGCGGGCAGTTTTCATAATACCCATTTCAGTGGGCAGAATTATTATCATCAAGGTGGGTTTTCCGAAACTTTAAATTATTGAAATTCTCTCAAATATTGATTCCTTACAGAATACTAATAATTCTTTAAATGTTTTCCTCTTCTTATAGATTACTCCAAACTCTCTATAGATGACTTTTCCAAACTTACCGCCGAAAGTGTATCGAAAATATCACCATCACTACATCTCACCGATAATTATACCAAATTAGAAAATCCCTCAAATTGGTCTCAAGCTGCCGCTTATCAAACAGCCGCCGCCAATTATAATGCAGCAGCGGCCCATCATCATGCTCATGCAGCGGCGGCAACACAACATTCCCTTAATGATTATGCTGCCGCGGCCAATGTCTCGCTCTCACACAATAACCCCATGAACCCAGCAGCTGCAGTGGCAGCTTCAGCCTATCAACATCCCCTGCCTTCACAAGGGGATACCAAATATTGGAGCTAATTTATTTTTAAAAGAAGTTTTTGCACGGAACCCATAACACTGATCTTTTTTTTCATTTGTTCAACTTAAGGAGGCATTAAATAGTTTAATTTTATTGTAATTCTTACTTCAATTTTTGATTCATTGTAATTATTTATAACTGAAATAAACCGCTTATTATTCATATTTATTATTTATATTGACACATAAGAGCAATGCAAACATTAATGAATATTTTCATTCCACAATCAGCAACTCAAGTAGTTTGTTGTTAATACAAAGAAAACTTTTTAATAAAATATTTTTTCGCGTCTATTTTTATAGACATGAATTTATTTATGAAAAAATTACTATTACTTTTTCATATATTGTATATTATTGTCAGTTTAAGTTAGTTTTTAGGAATTTAACATATACGGGCCGAGCCGTTGAACTGTAAAATCGGCACTAACTATATTTATATGTATGTATACCAGTTAAACAAAGATTTATTAAATAAAGTTTAAATATAAAAATATTATTTACCTAAAATTAAAATAATAAGAGTTGTCTTTAATGAACTTGGGATCCGTTAGGATCTAAATTGCTCAGGCTATAGTCAAGATTAAAAAGACTAAAATCAAGAAATGAACTGGAACTAAACTTGAACTTAACTGCTAGAACTGAATTATAAATGAAATAGAACCGAACTAAAACTGAACTGGAATAGAACTAGAACTGAACTAGAACTGAACTAGAACTAAACTAGAACTGAACTAGAACTGAACTAGAACTGAACTAGAACTGAACTAGAACTGAACTAGAACTGAACTAGAACTGAACTAGAACTGAACTAGAACTGAACTAGAACTGAACTAGAACTGAACTAGAACTGAACTAGAACTGAACTAGAACTGAACTAGAACTGAACTAGAACTGAACTAGAACTGTACTAGAACAGAACTAGAATTGAACTAATAGAACTAAACTAAACTACAACTGAACTAGAATTGAATTAGATCTGAACTAGAACCGACTTAGAACTGAACTAAAAATGAACTAGAACTGAACTAGAACTGTACTAGAACAGAACTAGAATTGAACTAATAGAACTGAACTAAACTACAACTGAACTAGAATTGAATTAGATCTGAACTAGAACCGACTTAGAACTGAACTAAAAATGAACTAGAACTGAACTAAAACTGAACTAGAACTAATCTAGAACTGAACTAGAACTGATCTAAAACTGAACTCGAACTGAACCAAAACGGAACTAGAACTGAACTAGAACTGAATTAGAATTGAACTAGAACCGATCTAAAACTAAACTACAAATGAACTTGTACCGAACTGAACTAGAATAGAACCAGAATTAAACTAGAACTGAACTAGAATTGAAATAAAACTGAACTAGAACTTAACTAGATCTGAAATAGAACTAAACTACAACTGAACTAGAAATAGAACTGAACTAGAACTAAACTAGAACTGAACTAGAACTGAACTAGAACTGAAATAGAACTGAACTAGAACTGAACTAGAACTGAACTAAAACTGAACTAGAACTAGACCAGGACAAAACTAGAACTCAACTAGAAAGAATCTAGAACATTATTCAAAATTGTTTTTCTAACTTTATTAAAAAAGTTCATCTAAATTTGAAAATAAAATTTTGAAGCTGATTGTTTAATTTTAAATTTATGTAAACAAAAATCTTAATTCTTAAATTTTTTTTTAAATTTTATTAATTACAATTATCGATCACTCTTTAAACTTGTGTGTTTACTTCAGAGTTTAAAGTAAACACACAACAACGACAAGTAAATACACAACAAAAACAACAACTAAAATAATAGAAACAACAACTAAAACACCAACCTACTTCTTTCCCACTTACTAAACAACAACAAAACTTCACGCCACTTTAAAGTTTATACTTCACCATCAACTATTAACAAAAACAACACAACTAACCTCTTTTCTGACTCTGGCTAGCAGCCACCCATCTTAAACATTGAGACACTTTGTCATTGAATATTGAATTCACAAAAACAACAAAACTTTGCACTACCCCCTCTCCCGTTCTTCTTTTCATATATCATAAAACCAGAAAAAAGCTCCTGCCTGCAGCCTCCTTTAAACTTTGCCAATAATTTTTAGCTTTCAGACTTTTCTATTTCTATTGAATTTATGCAATAACAAAAACAACACTACATTGTAGTAACCTTTTTACTTACTCTTGCTTTCCTACTACTTGTAAAAAGAACTCCGGCCATCAGCCACTAATTTTAAATAACAAAAACAACTAAAAGCTCCCTCCTTCTTTCTTACCATCACTTTTTATCAAAAACAAAAAAGCTCCGGCCAGCAGCCACCTACCAATTTTGGCAACAATTTTTAAATTTGAGACTTCTCTTTTTCGATGGAATTTATGCAATAACAAAAACAACATTACATTTCAATACCTCCTTTCCTGCCTCTTGCTCCATTACACATTATTCTTTTGTTCCCAACAGCCACCTGTAACTTCAACTTTTTTCAGAATTTTCACTTACACTTTTTACTATTAAATTTCATATTTTTCATTAACTTTTTTACATAATATTATTAAGCATTTTTTAATTATAAATTTATGCAAAAATATTTGCAATTTGTTTAGTTTAAATAGCGAAAATTAATTAATTACTACGAGCACTTATTAAAAACCGACGAAACAATTGTATAATTACGCGCAAACTAAAAGAAAAATGTCAAAAAAGTTTGATTTGTTTTGTCTTGTTTATTATTATTGTTGTTGTTATTGATGCTTTACTAAATACTCTAATAAGAAATGTATGAGTGTATGTTTATGTATGAAGGAAGAGTTAGTGAGAATATTAATGCAAAACACTTCTTATTCCCACTTCTCAACCTCTTTTAAAAACAAACATAACAACAAACAACTAGGAAGGGAATAAATAGGCATAACAATAATAACAACAACAATATGGACATCAATTTGACAATTATCGTTTGTTATTCTTGTTAGTTTTAAGTGTTCCCGGTTTTGTTAAGTGTTTGTCATCAATAATTGTTAATAAAATGGGTAAAGATTAAAGAAATTAAAAATATTGTTAATTATTTATATAATTCAAATATTGCTTAATAATATTATATAAAAATATTATTAGAAAAATTAAGGGAAATTAGTAAAAAACCTGTGGAAACATTTTGGAAGGAAATATCAAAGAAACAGTATTGTCGTTAATATTTGTTAATAAAATGGTTATAACATGAAGAAATTAAAAATATTTTTATTTATTTTTATAATTTAATTGCGGTTTTATATGTTTATATAAAAAATTTGTTGATAATTATGAAAGAAAGTGGTGAAAATTAGGAGAGAAAATTTGGGAAGAAAAAAGCATGATGAACTATTTCAGATTAAGCAAAGTGTTGTTGTTTTTTAGTAAATTAAATCATATAGAAAAAACTAGAAATGAACTGGATGAGAACTAGAAAGAACTAAAACTGAATTGGAACTGAACTGAACTTGAACTGAACTAAAACTGAACTAGAACTGAACTAGAACTGAACTAGAACTGAACTAGAACTGAACTAGAACTGAACTAGAACTGAACTAGAACTGAACTAGAACTGAACTAGAACTGAACTAGAACTGAACTAGAACTGAACTAGAACTGAACTAGAACTGAACTAGAACTGAACTAGAACTGAACTAGAACTGAACTAGAACTGAACTAGAACTGAACTAGAACTGAACTAGAACTGAACTAGAACTGAACAAGAACTGAACTAGAACTGAACTAGAACTGAACAAGAACTAACCAGAACTGAACTAGAATTGAACTAGAATTAAACTAGAACTAGACTACAACTGCACTAGAACTGAAGAAAGAGTCTAGAGCATTATGTATTCAAAATTGTTTTTCTAACTTTATTAAAAATGTTCATTTAAATTTGAAAATAAAATTTTGAAATTAATATGTATGTAAATATGTACATATTAATTTCTTTAATTTTTTAACATTTTATTAATTTAAATTACCGATCACTCTTTATACATACGTGTTGTGTGTATTTATATACTTTAAGTAAGGTTTAAAGTAAACACACAACAACACACCAACCTACTTCTTTCCCACTTACTATTTTGCAAAACAACAACAATACTGCACGCCAGAAACAACATAACATGGCACTAACCTCTTTTCGCACTTTAGCTAGTAGCCACCCATCTAAAACATTGAAACACTTTGTCATTGAATTTTTGCATGACCAAAAACAACAAAACTTTGCACTACCTACTACTCTCCCGTTCTTCGGTTCATTATACAGTGGACGTCCAATAGTACGTATACTCTTTATTACGAATATCCAATAATACGAATGGCAAAATTGTTGCATTGTCTACTCTATAGTACGAATAAAGTCACAATTTTTCTGTTCGATAGTACGAATAACGCATTTTTTATTGGAATTTTTGGTTTTATTTACGTATGAATGAAGTTTTTATTATGTTTTTATTTTATTATTTCGGTATCATTGACCTTAAGCTCAGTAATTTTGAAGTTTTTTTGTATTTATTACAAGTGTTTTGTATTTTTAAAAATCCTATACACACAATTTACTGCATGTATATTTACAACAATTATTTAGTGTTATTAATTTATTTTATTGGAATTTTGATGACCCAAGAGAAGAAATTAAATTGGATGATAACGCCAATGAGGAAAGTATTTTATTAGTTCCCGACAATAACTCTGCTGAGAACAATATTGAAGCCTCAAAAGCGCTGTTATTGAAAAAGCCGTAAGAGTCATTTTACAATGTAATAAACAGCGATGTTAAATGATGGATTTTTTAATAAGTAAAATGATATTTATATACATATGTATGTATGAACTGTTAATTTTGAAAGTAGTGTGACTCCACATTCCAAACAATGGGTTTAAGGATAACTATTCTAATTTTTAAGAGAAAATTATAAATTAGAGAATTGTGGTATATTCCATTCAAGTTTCAAATAAAAGTTTTATGTAATCTGAACATTTTAATACATTTTAGAACACATATGTAAATTGCAAATTGTCTTTGGCACAC